TTACCCTTGTATCACTCTACTTGCCTCCCAACACTCCGCTGCATTTGCAAGAGCTTCAGGGACTCGTCGGCCAGCTACCCGAGCCCTTTTTAATTCTTGGCGATTTTAATTCCCACCACCCCTTGTGGGGTAGTCCTCGACAGGACTCTCGTGGTGGAGTCATTGAGCGACTTTTATGATCATCCGGGTTATGTCTTTTAAACCAAAAAGAAGCAACGTTTTTTAGTGCCGGCCATAACACTTTTACAGCTATTGATTTGTCCCTGTCATCACCATCGTTACTCCCATGTTTTTCATGGAAGGTTTTAAACAACCCTTTTGGCAGCGATCATTTTCCCATTATTTTAGAAAGCGTTAAACCGATTCCATTGATTCCTACTCGCCTTCCCAGGTGGAAGTTAGAGAATGCCGATTGGTCTATTTTTGAATTAGAGGCTGTGATTGATCCATCTTTGCTTCGTACTATGAGCCCCGACAATGCGACAGTTTATGTCACTGAATGTATAATTAGTGCAGCTTCGAATTCTATTCCTCAAACATCTGGACATCTTCCTAAGAGATGCAAACCGTGGTGGACTAAGGAGTGCACAACCACTTGCAAGGACCAGAATAAAGCCTGGGGAGTTTTTCGTCGATACCCTACCAATCAAAACCTAATTGCATTCAAGAAAAGTAGGGCTAAGGCGAATTGGACACGAAAACAGGCTAAGAAGGTTTCATGGACCAAATATGCCTCTTCTATAAATAGCCTTGTTCCAGCGAAGGAAGTGTGGGACCGCCTGCGAAAAGTCCGAGGCGACTATCAACCTTTCCGAATTCCTCTTTTTCCCCTGCCTGCCGTATCTCTCAAAGATCAGGCAAATGTTCTTGGTATGCACTTCCAACATATATCTAGTTCTTCCCACTTTAGTGTAAAGTTTCAGAAGTTTCAGTCTACTGCTGAAAAGCAATCAATCTCGATGTCAGGATATGACCGGGCAGCTTACAATAGACCGTTCAGTATGTGCGAACTGGAAGTGGCGCTGGGTGTAAAAAAGCCGTCTGCACCAGGCCCAGACAGGATTCATTACGAAGTGCTGAGGCACTTGTCCCCAACATCATTAAGTCATTTGCTTATGTTTTTTAATCATCTATGGAAAGTAGCTGCTTTCCCTCGATGCTGGAAAAGCGCCCACATCATTCCTCTTCTGAAGCCCGGTAAAGACCCCTCTCTTCCAGCGAGTTACCGTCCCATTGCGCTCACTAGTTGTCTTGGGAAGACTTATGAAAGGCTCATTAACCGGCGTCTGGTGTATTTTCTGGAGGAAGAAAATATTTTGGACATTAATCAGTGTGGATTTCGGGAGGGACGATCAGCCACAGACCATTTGGTTCGTTTGGAGACTTTTATCCGTGAGGCATTTGTACATCGGCAGCATTGTGTCTCGGTATTCTTCGACTTGCAAAAGGCCTATGATACCACATGGAGGTATGGAATTCTTCGGGATCTACACAACTATGGGGTACGAGGCCGCATGCTCCAGTGTATACAGAATTTTTTAAGCGACCGGACTTTTCAGGTCCGCTTGGGTTCTACACTATCCGATGTGTTCCCCCAGGAAAATGGAGTTCCTCAGGGAGGAGTTTTAAGTGTTACTCTGTTTGCTGTAAAAATTAACAGTCTTGCAAGTGTGATTCCACCGTCTGTGTTTTACTCATTGTATGTGGATGATGTGCAGATCTCCGTTTCTTCTTGCAACCTCTCTAGCTGTGAACGACAACTACAACTTACAGTCAATACGATGAGCAAATGGGCAGATGAAAACGGTTTCACTTTTTCTCCCGAAAAAAACTGTCTGCGTTCCCTTTTCGCTTCGCCGGAGATTGTCCCTTGATCCTTCTTTGCATTTAAACCACATTGACGTACCTGTTCGCCAGGAACACAAATTTCTGGGCATAATCCTTGACAAGAAGCTCACTTTTGTACCTCATTTGAAAGAAGTGAAGCGCAAATGCTTAAAATCATCAAACATTCTCAAGGTGTTGTCCCACAACTCGTGGGGGTCCGACAGGCGCTGCCTCCTGCGACTACAATTCCTTAGTTCGGTCTCGCCTCGACTATGGTGCAATTGTGTATGGATCTGCACGTCCATCTACACTAAAGATGCTGGATCCGGTTCATCACCTGGGGCTCCGACTGGCTACAGGTGCTTTTCGCACATCACCTGTGTTGAGTTTATATGCAGAAACCTTTCAGATGTCTCTCGAGAAGCGTAGACAGTACCTTAGCCTTTCTTATGCTTGCAGGGCCTATTCTGACCCGCAACATCCATCCTACACTAGCATCCGTACCTGTCGATTCTCTCAACTTTTTGAAAACAAGCCACATATCGTGCGTCCTATTAACTTCCGCATTCAAAGCCTTTGTGCCTCCCTCCAGTTTTCACTGAATGATGCTGTCATACTAAAGCACAAAGAAAAAGTTTCTCCGTGGGACGAATTGCCGATTTTCTGCGACTGGTCGCTCACAAAGTATGATAAACGGGCTATTTCCCCTCAAGTCCTGCAGCAGGAGTTTCAGTCGATGCAGGAGACATATAGAGATTATACTGAATTCTATACTGATGGGTCGAAATCTTCATCTTTTGTTGGTTGTGCCGTATATTCTAGTTCCTTTGAGAAAGCTTTACGAATGGATGGTATGGCAAGCATTTTCTCTGCAGAGCTTTATGGTGTCTCTCTAGCCATTGAACATATCATGAGTAACAAAATATTAAAGGCTATCCTTTTTGTCGATTCACAAAGCGTGATACAGGCTGTCTCTTCTAGACTTCCCACAAAGAATCTTCTTGTACTACATATACGGTCCAAAATAAACCGGGCTCTCAAACTCGGACACACCATAATATTCTGCTGGGTGCCCAGTCATGTTGGAATTCCAGGGAATGAGCAAGCAGATAAACTGGCTGCAGGTGCAAAGGACTCGGCAACATCTCTTGGGTTACCCTATCAGGACCTTAGGCCCCTTTGGAAGAAATCACTTTTGAAGGCATGGCAGTCGGAGTGGGACGCGGAGAGTAACAATAAACTTCATGTCATTAAGCCCATCTTGGCTCTGTGGGAGAGCTCATTCCTTAAGGAACGTCGACTGGAGGTTCTCTTATGCCGCCTGAGGATTGGCCATTCACGTCTGACTCATCTACATCTTCTTTGTGGCGAAGACGAAAAGCTCTGTGCTCATTGTGGAGAAGTACTGACAGTTTTGCACATTTTATGGCATTGTAGATTTCATCACCAACATCGCCGACAAAGTTTTCCTGAACTTTTTAGAGGTCACCTTCCATTTCATCCTATGTTTTTGCTTGGTGATCATCCTTTAGTGCCACTTAACCGTGTTATTGACTATCTTAAAAAGACCGGATATATATACATCAGCTGTAACTTTTACCATGAAAACTTTAATATCTCTTTCCTAGTATAGCCGTCTTAAGTAATTTTGTCTGGCGCAATATAGCCAAAGTCGCTCTTGCGCCATTAAACCCCAATCATCATCACATCCTGCGAATGGCACCCAGCACATTTGATACCTCGCTGCAACTCATCCGTCCAGCGATCGAACGTAAGGTGACGCCGTTCCGCGACCCGATATCAGTACACGACCGGCTTGTTATCACCAGCAGGGAAAGAGGGGGGGGGGGGGCCGGGGGGAAGGGGAAGGGAGATTGACATTACGGCGTCAGCATATCGCCATCTTGATGTTATAATAAATCTTCCGAGTGAACAAGCAGTCTTGCGGAGAATTAAAAGCAACTGCGAGGTGCACTAAGCGAGCGTTGTATGAAAAAACACGCGCGGATTACCAAGACACCTTTTTTTTTGTGATTCCAGATTCCTTGCAAATGGCGACACATTCCATAGTTCGTCTTTTAATTTTTTGGTGGGCCGATCAACAGCGGCTGGGATTGTGAAGGAAACATGTGCTGCAATGTGGAACATTGTGCAGCCCATCTACGTGAGATTTCCACAGGGCCCAACTGAATGGAAAAAGGTTAGGGACGGTACCTGTTAGGTCACACTATGCCATGCTCACTTCCTACTTTTTTTATGACCATTATTATTTCAGATTGCAGCAAAGATAGATTTACTCTGGAATTTCCCTAATTGTATTGGTTGCATTGATGGAAAACATGTCAGCATTGAAAGCCCCAGCAACTCAGTTGCAAGAAACCTGAACTATAAGAAGACATTTAGTACAGTTCTTGTGGCAGTATCTGATGCACGCTACAGGTAGGATTCATTTGATTAATTATTTAAATAAGTGTTTGTAATAGCATGGCATGTTGGTTATGAGTGTAAAGAAAGCTACCACTACTAAGGAAACAAAGATACTGCAATTTTGTACTTTATATTGCTCATATTGAATGTATCGACTTCTACCTGCTGTTTTATTTCAGCTTCACGTATGTTGACATCGGTCATTATGGCGGAGAGAGTGATGGAGGTTTTTTTTTCAAGGACGCCACTTTTCGGGGTTCTAGCTGACAGCGGATATGGCATCCCTCCTCCAGCAAATGTGGGCTCTGCAGGCCCGATCCCCTACTTAATGGTAGGGCATGAGGCGTTTCCGCTCAAGCCCTTTCTCATGAGGCCATATCCTGGGCACGGCAAGTGTTGCTATTGATTTTCGTATAGTATAGCTCACATTATTTATCTGTAAAAAAAGAAAACAGCATTGTGCTTTCTTTTTATTTAGAAATTATTGAATACTCATTTCGCACGTCATGAAATTCGTTATTTATTGAAATGTACTTTGCGGGAAATGCCATTATTTTATTCTGTTAGCAGATGCATTCGTCTATGCAGAGTCTGTTAATTTAAACCGGAAAACACGAGCGCTCAGCCGGCCAGAATTGGCACACTATTGCTCAATAGTCAGCTTAATCAGAGACAATGTTGCGCATGCGGTTTGTGGTGGTCAATACTGACGTCTCAATTTTGCATATTTCTTCAGAGCTCCAAAGGTGCTGAAACAGTGAACCTGACCGGGAAGAGCACCTGAAAATGGCCACCTTTAATTACCGGCTGAGCCGTGCCAGCCGGCTCATAGAAAATGCGTTTGGGATCATGGCCAGCGGGTGGCGAATTCTACGAAGAGCATTTCGGGCCTCGGAAAAAACAACAAAAATATTGTGAAGGCGTGCGTTGCTTTGCACAACTTTCTGCTCAAGAATTCTGCCATGTCAAGGTCAGCGTACAATCCTCCGGGCTATGCGGACAGCGAGGACTGGCAAGGAAATCTCACACATGGGTCATGGAGAAATGACAGGGGGCTGCCGTTGAGGGACATGGCAGGCCTGGGGTCCCACTCTCCCGAGTAATTGTTCCAGCAGATGGGCCGCGGGGATAAAAAAGTGATATTCAGGTTTGCAATTTCTTACTTGCGTGCATTACCGAAAATGCTATGCCTGCTGACTTTTTATTCCATTGACAGACATTGTGTAATCTTGTATTCCAGGACTGCTTTGGCAGTACGGGACTGACTGGCCACATACTTCCTCAACGATGGAAAGGTCCCGTGGCAAGAAAGAATCGTAACTCGAGCGGGACAGCAGGTAATGACCGATCATCAAAGTAACTAATTTTTCAACGAAATATTGATTTCTTCTCTGAAGGATGCTAACATCAAGTATAGAAACTGTACACGATAAAATTTGTAAGTAACGTGTGTCACAATCTTTCTTGAACGTGGACGAAGGGGGCCGAAGCACCCGCCGAGAAGAGACGACACGCAGCCTGGTGGTTGTGAGGGTGGACGATGACTGACCGAGGCGACGTACGCTCCACGGTGTTTATTGGTGCGGTGACCAATGTTGCCCGCCGAGCCTGATGGCCATCGACGGGTGGACGGGAGAGGGCGCTACATGCTTGTCACAACGTGCTTACTTAATTTGTACTATAGATCTGCAAGACTAAAGTCTTAGATAAATAACACGAACAATGACGTTTCGGTTGAGCATTCATTTCAACATCTTCATCTCAGCCTCATACAGCAGTTGATTGATCTTATGCATTACTTCACATCTTAGCTTTTGTGAAAGCAATGCCAGTTTGGATTCAATCCATTGTGCCCTCGCCGTACAGTCGTTTTTAATGACAGGCGTGTCGGTCTTGTGCGAGATGGCGTTCAATGTTGCCGAGCAGCTGTGGAGGACGCTCTGCACAGAGTCCTTGAAGTTATCCTGGCCCCGTTGCTTCTTTTTTCTGCAAAACAGTCCAAACGTTGATTTTCACGCAATTGTCTTTTTTTAATAGGAAACAACGCAAGTACCGGGATGATGGCACTTGGTCAGCAGGCCTCTTGGCTTATCTGGGCAAACCAAAGGAAGCAAATCAGCCAGGACGTACAAGAATATTGAAGACATGATTTTCTTACCGTGAAGGACCTACATCGGCTCCCGTGCCTGGGTGTTCATAGATGCTGCAAAATAAAGGCAGACTGTGAATTTGTGCTTCAGTATTCTAAGAGGAGTATGCAGTGCACCTTGCAGCACCAATAAATGATTGAGACCGCACACCTTGGGCTGTTTTCCTTTGATAGCAAGAGAGCAGGGCCATTGGAGTACCTGGATTATTTACTGCAAATGTACGGCGTTTCACTCATGGCACAGGCCATGCCACAGGAAAGAGGTTACGACAAAGCAATATAAAGTATGCTTACATTGCTTCAAAAACAACCTTAGCAGGGCTCAGGGGACAGCTGTGCGTAGAAATTTTGTTAAAGTTAGTACCACATTTTTGTTGTGCTCTGACCACAGGTAATGTAAACACGAGTGGTGTCTACCTCTCTGCGAGGTCAAGACTTGCTGCAGTCGAACTGGATGTGGAGGGCTGCTCTGTGTCCCTGCATAACAGTAGTATAAGCCTTGCTTAACAAAAACGCTGGGGCAGTGAAATTCGTAAGTTTATAAAGGATTTTTCTAGGGTAAAACGTAGCAGAGAGGAAAAGAAAAATACAGCATCATACCTATATTCCTCAACCGGCAAGTTTGTGGCGGTCCTTAATAAAACGAAAAATGTACCCTCTCAAATTAGACGCAATCATTTCACACGGTCACATGAGCACCATAGTTACACATTACCTTTCAGCGTAGTGCGGCGTGTTCTTAAGAACGTTGATCACGTCAAATAAAATCCACTTTGTTTTTACTTTCCCAACATTTCCGCTGGAGCCGCTCCTCGGTTTTTCCACGCCGGAAACAATCTTCAACCAGCGGTGCCTGACATTCTTAAATTTGGCCGCGGTTGCTTCTCCTGCATGATATATGCCTCCATTAGAAATTTAGAAACGATTTACTGCATTGTTAGTCGAAACTGCGCAAAGCAAGCCCGAGAAGCTTGCTGTGCCCAAAAAAGAGAGTCGATGCAAGGCTGTCATAACTAAGCTAGGCGCCTAGATGTCCTTCTGTTTAGAGTGATGCCATCGTTTGTAGTACCCGATGCCGACAGCACGAGCTCGCAGGGAAAATACAAAGAAATCACCGGTAACAAAAAATTGCCGTAGCACAGTCAGCGCCACGGGCGCGTGCAGAGACACACGCTTGAAAACAAAAAATACAAACAAGCGTTCGGAACAAAATTGCCAGATGTCATCACCCCAAGCAAAGTGCACATAAAGGCCCCCTAAACTAAGCCAGCTTCATATCAGCTGCTGAGCCCAACAGACACCTGTGCTTATTGCTTCGAAAGTTGCTTCGGAACCCATTACGGGACCCCCTGCGCTAACATCACGGAGTCGGCGCGAGAGGCGTTTACACAACTCAAGTGACAATGAACATGCGACAAGGGTCGCGAAAAAACTCACCGGTGAGACCGAAATCCTCGCCGATAATCGCCCATCGGTTCAGCTTTGCCGCTTTTTCCTCGAACTCTGGGTGTTTTTTATCGTATAGAAACGGGTACATCCGTACCGTTTCAATAAAGCGCTCCATCGTCCTCGTGTTGTTTTCTAGGCTCGGGGCAGAAAGAATGTTCGCTGGCTTGCCTGGGGGGCTATGTTGCGCTTTTTGCACTCCCAGGAGACTAGGTAGAGGGAAGTGACGTCAACAACTCTCTTTGGATGTGGATAGGTGGAATCGCTGATGACGGTATTTGCAGAAGAAAACAAAGAAAAAGTGAGCGGAAATCGGTAAACCGGAAGCTCTACCATTAACGGACGTGACGTCAAAATGACATATTGCCGCCCGCAGAGCTGAGAAGGCAACGCTTGGTCACGGTCTTCTAGAAGATTCCCGCTCATTCTCGCAGCAGACGTAACTTTCCTTCTGCTTTGATATTCTCGAAAGTGCCAGTTCATCCTCGCCCCGAGCGCGCGACGCTCGAACCTTCTTTGCCGAACTTTCGAGATAGTGACGCAGGGTAGATAAGCGGCTCCCGCGACCTTGTCGAGTCCGTCCCAGTCTCGCTAGCGCTCTGTAGTGCCGCCGAATCGCCGCCCGCTTTTCTGCTACCCCGACGCTCTTTCGTTACTTATTTTTGTTTGGCACAAGTTCGCCAATTAAACCTTTACTTTCAGTTCACTGTTCGCCTTCTCGTCGCCTTAATTCGTGACAATATGAATACTTTGCTATTACGTCGCTTCGAAAGAACGAGGCAAGATGAGGTGCAACGCGTCCGCGCCGTCCCGTCGAACGATGGACTGCACCCCGATATTTCAGTTGTTGTATCCGGTGGACAGGCGCAACCGGAGCCATCGGGATGCTTTTGAACTCCCAGAGCACGTATTTCGGAAGCAGTACCGCCTGGCGAAGACTTTAGTGCGGTGGCTGTGCTACGAACTCCGCGAGGAGCCGGAGCTGCAGAGACTGCGTCGGTCAAGTACTGTCATGACTGTGAAGGACCAAGTGCTGTGCGCCCTTCGGTTTTACGCTACGGGGAGCTTCCAAGGCATGGTGGCGAGCGACGAGCACATAGCACGGGACCAAGGCACGGTCAGCATTGCCTTGCGGGCCGTGTCCGTCGCTATTGTGCGCCGTCTGGGGATCCAACATGGCTGGATCCACCTTCCCCAGACGGCAAGCGAGAGGGACGACTTCGAGAGGGGCTTCCAACTACTCGGCAGGATTCCGGGCGTCATCGGGTGCATCGACGGGACGATGATCAGCATCGTCGGCCCGTCCAAGTACGACCCCACCGTCACGAAGGCTGCGTATTGGTGCAGGAAGCAGTACTACGCCCTTAAAGGGATACTGAACCGAAATTTCGAACTTACAAAACAAGGCTGGACAGATAGGCGGGACGATGCAAAACCCAAAAACATCACTCATACAGCGATATCTCTAACAGATCGCCATATTTTTAGAAAAGAAGCGCCCGACTAAACCCTGCCGACGAGGCCGACAAGGCAAAGCACGTCACGATTCTTATTCCCTCTCCTCACTACGTCTTGTGTCGAGCTGGTGAACCGAAGCGAGGAGGAGAGAAGCGAGGCCGCTCCCCCTTATTCTCAAATTCTCCCGGAGGACAGTGATGTCAGAAGCCTCGCTTGATCGGGCCCTTCTTTTCGAAAAGTGCGGCCATCCGTTTGAGATATCGATGTACGAGCAATGTTTCGGAGTTCGTAGAGTCCCGTTCAACGCTTCTAGAGACTTATTTTGCGAAATTCAAATTTCGATTCAGTATCCCTTTAACGTGATGGTGGTAAGTAACCTCTGAACGAAACTTATATTGTATGACGATGGGGATGCAGGGTAGGCATAAAGAGCTGCTCATTTTTTTTTCATCTATATAAACGTAGGTTTCATGGGGGGGATGACTGTGGGAGGGAGCGAGCTCGACACTGGACCGGACCCAACCCCCAACCCCCCCCCCCCTTTGTTTTTCTCTCTTCTTCCATGTTGTACAATATGAGCTGAAACAGCGCTCCGGACGCCGCACGCCGAGCCGTATATCGGGAGAGTTTGGTCAGTCTATGATCTCGCCGCCGTAACGCTCTCCTCCCGAGCGAGCCAATCAGCACGCGGCGCAGTGAGAGGCATGACCGCATGCGCGTGAACTCCCGGCTGCTCGCAGCTGAGTGGAGAGGGCTGCCATCTTCAATCATTCTCACGGCGGAATGCGTGGGATCGGCATCCAAATCTCGATTATTGCCTTTCATATCGCTGGCTCTGGCAAGAAAATGACATTCTGTTATTCTTCGGTGGGTTAAAAAGCTAATAAATGAAGATTTTTCGGCGTATGGCCACAAACTTTTATTCAGGCGAAAAAGAAGTCGGCCCGTAGCAGACGACGCGTAGCCTCAGCAGTGCTCTTCTCCGACCAGTCTCCGACAGCGCTGCTAAAAAATGGCGGCCGTCTCCTCCCTGCTCCCTTCTTTCTTTCTCGCTCCTTCGGCGCTCTCCTCCCTTTAATTTACTTTTCTCCTCTCCGGCGCCTTCGTCGCCACACCCACTGGCCAAACTCTCCCAATATACGGCTCTGGCCGCACGGTACTACCTGCGCCGTCTGTCGCATTGGAACGCACACTCGGCCCCAGGCTGCGCCGTGTTTGCGGAGCGATGCGATAGGCGGCGCAGGTAGTACCGTGCGGCGGCCGGAGTGCTGTTTCAGCTCATACTGTTCGCGATTGTACGTACATGCATACTTTACACAACTAGAGCGTGGCTCATTTTATGGATCCAAACTGACAGTGCCTGGTCATGTATGGCGCATTGTGTCCTACAATCACCTTAGTCGTGGATTTCTTCTTTTTGTGCTTATTAGTTTGCAAATGGTGCTTGAGGCTGGAATTCGCATTGCCTAACAGTGTGCTCTGCTAGGTCATTCGGGGAAACTACTGAGTACATATTACCTATCTTGCTTTGCTTTATCATTCGGGGAAACTACTGAGCACATATATCCTATCTCTACAACAGGTGTGTGACGCCCGCTGCCGGGTAATGTGCATCGACCCATGCTACCCAGGGTCGGTGCACGACTCCTTTGCCTGGCGCTTCTCCTGGCTCCGCGACAACTTCGAGCAAGGTCGGCTCATCGACGATGGCAGGTTCCTGCTTGGTGAGCATGCTTAAATTGTTAAATTTGTGCATGTCGGCTGAGCCTGGATTATAGGCTACAATACTATATAAACTGATGCTTCTAACATTGTTACTTGTGCATACACTGTGTACATACCCAGGAAGAAGTTGCTGCACAAAGGTGTTCTTGTTTGGCCTTTGCAGTAATAAAATGAAAAATAACTGGTGGATTAGTTGGTTAAACATGATGTGAAAAAAGCGCTGTATCCTGTCCCCTTCTCTTCCCAACCATTTGCGCTTTTTCACATCATATCAAACTTCCCAGTAAATAAAACAATATTAGAACATTTCTTTGTCTGATTGTGCAGGAGACAGCGGCTACGCCTTGGAACCTTGGCTCATCACCCCTGTCCCTGGGGTGCACACAACCTCCACCGCCAGCGGCCGGTTTAACAAGGCACATTCCTCGATGAGGTCTGTTGTGGAGCGCTGCATTGGGCTGCTGAAATCCAGATTCCGGTGCCCAGCCACCGCCATTATAACGGCGTGTGCAGTGCTCCAAAATATATGCCTTGCATCGATCGAGCCAGAACCGGAGCCAGATGCCAACTCTGACAGTCCAGAGTCGGACTCTGGGTCGAGCTCGGACGGTTCTGAGCCGGGCTCGGCGGGGTTAGAGCCAGAAGGTGGCGGGCAGGTTCCTGCCAACTTTCCGGTGCGCCTCTCAGACAGGGGGAAGGCTCTGAGGCAAGGCCTTGTGTCCCAGTTCGAGACCTGCCAAAGCCGTGCTGTCGCGGGGCCCTCTGCAGGCCGCTCTGGCAGTTCCTCACGCCAGCAGCGGCGGCGCCACCAAGGAGTCCGTCGTCGATCTAGCCTCTCTGGCAGTCCTGCCGTCCAGGGAGGCCAGCGACGACAGGGAGCCCCTCGTCGTCATTGTCGCCACCATGCCGGCGGTTCCGCAAGGGCTGAGGTGCCGTGAATACCCAAGGCCCTCATCAGCACCCGTGGTGCCAAGGGAGCTCCCCGTAGAAGTTCGTAAAACTTTTTCCAGTCCACAGGCACGACGGTTCATGAACTGCGCAGTCTCTTGAGTTCCTGCTCCTCACAGTTTTCAGCACAGCCATTGTGCAACCCTTGCAGAAGGATGGTGCTGCTTCCGAAATATGTATTTTGGGATTTTAAGTGTGTAACGGTGGTTCCAAAGGTGTACCTCTCCATAGAATAACCTTTTATTTTGCAACAGATATGAGATAATGAGTATCATGTGTCCATGATCGTGGTTGGTTAGTTGAGTTCATATGGCAAACACAGACAGGCCGCCTTATTTTCCCCACGGCAAACTCTGTTATTTTATGTCATGTATTTCTTCGTGTGTTATTGGGTATTGGCTTGTGTAACAGGTATGACCAAGTAACCTGGGAGCAAAACATTTTGCCTCTTTTTGAAACGATCTCATTTTTCCCTGTGCTTCATTCTGTTCTTCCTTCCCAGGTGTGCCACATTTTTATGTATTCTTTGTGAGTATAGAATTTCGATATATTTTTCTTGTTTACAAAGGGGGTACACATAAGTGGATTGTGACAGAGATAGTCTTTTAGCAATAAAAATCTTTGCAAACATTGCAAATTTCTTTCTTGCACAAAATGCTACTACACGTTGCAGTACAGAACTATGTGCAAGTGAAAACAAACTTCTGTTTTTTTTTTATGTGACAGTTCGACGAAAGATGTTATTGCAGCCACTTGAGGCGCTTTCGTATAAAACAGTATATACAAATAACCACAATCTCCAAGGAACATAAGTTGACAGTTCACGAAAGACGTTGCTGCGGCCACTTCAGGCACTGTCATATAAAACATTATATACAGATAACAACATTCGCCAGAGAACATAGATTGACAGGTCATGAAAGATTTTATTGCAGCCATTGGGGGCATTGTCATTAAAAATATATACAAAAAAAAGATCCTTTTGGATGTGAGAAAAGAAAGGTACAGTAATCAACACTTAGTTGTTGTGATCCTCTCAAGGCTGGGCCAGGTGCTGGGCCAGGTGCTGGGCCTGGGGCTCGGCCTGGGGTTCGGCCTGGGCCTCGGCCTGAGGCTGGGCCTGGGGCTGGGCCTGGGGCTCGGCCTGGGGCTCGGCCTGGGGCTGGGCCTGGGCCTGGGGCTGAGGCTGACGCAGAGCGTGGCTGGACAGCAGGAGGATGACCTCTCGCATGAAGGCAGCGTTTTGCTGCATGGAGAAGACCCCCTCCTGGATGTTGTCTGCGATCCGGTCCATGCTCTGCGCCTGCTGCTCCACGTGCTGCGCCAGCTGCCCCACGTTCTGTGCCAGCTGGTCCAGCCGCTCCAGGACCTGCCCCATGCCGAGCGTGATCTGAAACATGATTTGCAGATTTCTTGACTTCCAACATCTCATACAGGTTACGAAGACTTTGCTGACACCAACTATTGGTACCTTATGTGTAAAGTAAGTCTGTGTTTAATCATGTTACTGTGCTTCAGGGATTTGTCAACATTACCTGTCCCTGGAACCTTTCGTCTCGTATCGCGGCCTGCGTTGGCGTCGAGCAGGCGCTGCTGGTTAGCCACGGCCGAAAAGGCCGCCTCGTCCCGCTGCTCCTGTCGAGAGACTCGAGGGACTCGACGAGGCACCCTTGGTCGAACCGTGGCTCGCCGTGCTCGAGGCCGTGTCATTTCTGCAGGAAAACATAGTTTAGATCAGTAATAAGTGTGGTCATGTTCATGTTGCTGACGGTTTTAGTTCCCCTTACTCAAGTCAAGTATCTTACGCGTTGAGGTAGATGCCTCCTGATTCGCGTCCTCCTCCTCATCCGCCTCCTCCTCGAGCACCTCCCCCGCATCCTGCGAAGCTGGGTGCTCCTCTGCCGGGGCGCCCACAGACTGCGCCTACAAGGCACATTTATCGTTACGTGTTTGCACTGCATGCCCTGTAACATGTGCAATCTCTTTAGTTTTTTTATGGAATCAAATGGAGCTATGCTCCAGCTTTAGATTCTACACAGGTTTGCCCCTGTAGTAACTTTTGTAGTTTGCTGTAAAAACAATACTGCAAATGAATGACTTGTGGTAAACCTCTTGTGAGCGCCAGGCAAGTAGCTGCTCCCTTTCGTGTGCGTATTACCCTATAAGAGTTGTACATGTTGCATACTGTCGGGAAAAACAGATAAGTAGATGATTCATTGCAGCAGCTGAATGTTGCTGGTAGTGCTGTGGCTGACGCTAGGATGTACCACTCCCATTTACATGTCATTTCAATCACCTTTTATGTAAACTAACCACCTTACTACAGCTCTCATCAATGTTTCTAGGTCTAAGCAAAGTTGGGGCCGAACCCAGGAAAAGTATTTGGCAGTCCATGATGAATTTTGAAGCTCAGACTCCTCCTCCTCTCCTGGATATGGCCTTGAGCCCAGGAACTATTTACATACACGTCCCATAGTTTTTAATAGTTATCACACGTGCAGTCCTTTCAGGGTCAGCCTGTACAGGGACAAGTCAATTTTCCCTCTGTACACCCTAGAGTTGGCGGGATTTTGAAAGGGACCGATAAATAAATTAACGATTTATTGCTTATATTTATCACTTTAAACAATGACTATTGTAACCCACCAATAAAACTATCAACAAATGTTCGGAAAGCTTAACCCAATTTTGGGACCACGTAGGTAACGAAGTGCCAATCCTGCTTTCTTCACTTCTTTCTCAGGTAAGTTCATTGAAATTTTAATGCAATGCTTCCATTAGTTTTAAAATACAGATTTAAGCGTTCACTTCATACACTTGCCCCGCCTCCTGGAACTCTGCAGAAATAAGCAATACATGTAGATTGTTGTGCTGTTCCCTGGTCAAGTACGTACCTCCTCCTCCGGAAAGTAGGGGGCACGAAACCCGGGGGCGCCCAGGGCAGAGTCTACACCGACAATGCACAGGATGCGGGAGTAGGTTGATGAGAGCCGCGCCCGGGAGGAGCCTCCCCCCGTTTTGCGGCTGTGAATGCAAAATATGTATCAATAACTCTGTCCCGAGTGTTTATCTTCTGCCTAGCTTACCTCTCAGCCTCGACTACTGCGCACCGCTTGCGGGCTTTGGAGACGCGGTTCATCCAAACCCTCTTCCACCGCTCTGTGCTGCGCGGCGGCCCGAGGTGGCTCAGCCGGCAGGTCAACTCGGCCCACAACCTTGCCTTGTCATCTCTGGTCAGGCTAGGCGAGAGGTCAGAGGCCCCACGAGCCAGTTCGCGATGTGCAAATATAAAATTGTCCATTTCTTCTTTTTGTAATGCATTGACTGGCTCGCAGGGCTCTCTCTCGCTTGCCTGATCAGACATGACAGACATGATTGAGGCGGTAAATTGTCGTCTGCTATCTGTTTTCGAAAAACGCGCGCGTCCGCATCCCGCAATTGTTGCCGGCAGCTTTTACATCACATAACTTCGGTTTCACTTTTCTTTTCAGTCCAACTAAAGAAAAACGTGCTAATTTCATCAGCATTCAAAGTTTTTTTTTATTTACGACGCCGTGTAAAATAAATTATATGTGACGGTGAGAGTCGCACTCCCTTGGCTACTGTCGGCTCGATACAAGTACAAGAGTCGGCTTGGTTCGCTCGTTTGGCTTTGTGTCTTCACGGCCGTGCTTCGGAAGTGTGTCGTAGTTAATTACTGCGATGTCGTCATGGCGTCAGAAGGTGAGTTTCCGCGAACCGTGGTGTTGCTAAGAAACGTTCATTCACACCTACGTCACTTCCCTCTCCCTAGTCTCCTGGGAGTGCAAAAAGTGCAACATAGCCCCCCAGAACTCGCCACTACTCGGTGGCGCAACTTTCTCGCGAAAGTGTTGCCATGGCATCCCACGTGACTAGATGTGACGCCTCTGATTGGCGCGTCTGTGCCAGCGGCACGCAGCATACCACAAGAAATAGTGCAGGGAGCCATTACCTCGCGGCAGGAAAATCTTTCTCTCGACCGATTTTGCGGAACGCGTTTTCTACGCAATCGGCGCGCCGCGCGCGTTTTCTCGCTAGTGTGGGCAGCCCTTAACAATAAACTTCATGTCATTAAGCCCATCTGGGCTCTGTGGGAGAGCTCGTTCCATAAGAAACGTCGACTGGAGGTTTTATTATGCCGCCTGAGGATTGGCCATTCACGTCTGACTCATCTACATCTTTGTGGCGAAGACGAAAAGTTTTGTGCCCATTGTGGAGAAGTACTGACAGTTTTACACATTTATGGCATTGTAGATTTTATCACCGACATCGCCGACAAAGTTTTCCTGAGCTTTTTAGAGGTAACCTTCCATTTCATCCTTTGCTTCTGCTTGGTGATCATCCTTTAGTGTCACTTCACCGTGTTTTTGACTTTCTTAAGAAGACTGGATATATGCATCAGCTGTAACTTTACCATGAAAACTCTCTAATATATCCTTCCTAGTATAGCCATCTTAAGTAATGTTGTCTGGCGCAATATGGCCTAAGTTGCTTGTGCACCGTAAAACCCCAATCATCATCATCACCGACTTGGCACATAAAATAATCATCCATTAAACTAAATTATACGTGGCTGGACTCGGCAGTACTGGGCTCGGCGGTGCTGGGCTCGGCGGGGCGGGCGGGGCGGGACGGGGCTGGACTAGGCTGGGCTGCACGAGGGGTGGCTGGGCAGGGCTCGGCATGTCTTGGCTTCGCTGGGCTCGGCTTCTCTCGGCAGTCAGCAGCAGAACGACTTCGACGAGCACGCGGATCGCGAGCTTGCTCCTGGTTCGCTTCCGCAACAGCCTCCATGCGGTGGCTGAGGGTCTCGATGGAACGCAGGACCTGGAAAGACGGGGCATTTAATGTGCAGCAACAACATATTTCTAGACACCCAGAGGGCGTGAAAACCCTGCATATGTCACAGTTCGGTTTGCATTATGCTTTTGTGGACCTCCATTGCCCTCTGCTGCACTCCCACTTTCACAGTGGCATCTTTGTTAAACTTGTACCTATTTAGTAATCCTACACAGTTCTATGTTTGAGCCAATACCTGGACTTGGAATTCCACGTCCCGCGCACCCCTCGTCTCGTTCTGCTGCAGCTGGAGAGTTTGGTTGGCGACAGTCTGCATGGCAGCCTCGTCGTGCCGCTCCTGCCTCGACAATCGGGGGGTGGCACGAGGCGCCGTGGGCTGCACCCGGGGCCTTGCAGCTGGCCTCACATCTGACAGGAAACAAAGAATGCTTCTGTCATATCACACAATCCTAGTTGTCTTCATAAGAGATCTCACCCCGTCAGGTGGAGGGCACCGGCTCGGCTGCCTGCTGCCCGTGACCTGTCTGGGCACCTGCAGGTCTCCCCTAGAAGGGAATTGATAAGTTTCAGTCAGGACACGGGACTTGTCTGCATTTTCTAGATATTGAGAGTGGGTTTGTTGAGGCTGCATTCTACTCAGAGGAAACAAAATTAGACTGTTCTAGAGGTAGTGCCATTCATGTCAAGGATTGACTCCCCAAATATGTCTAGTGGCAGCTCGAAAGGTTGCACTTCTCCCGTTTTTGTGAAAATGTACCTCTGTGATACAGAAATTGAATCTTACGACAGCGTGCACACAATACAAGTGAGGGTTGCAACAACTACAAAAGCAAGAAGAAAAAGGACTACACAAAAACTACATTTGTTTTTGGCCTTAGAAACTCCAGTATTACTGCAATAAATAGTGTTTTTTGTCGTAAGTGCTTTTGTTTTAGATTTTGCCTTTATGTGGATGAATTAATCCGCCCTCCGATTCGCTAAATTATAAAAAGTGCCAGCACCTTTAATGCATATATTCACGTTCATATTTATCACATTTCACTGCGGTATACATCTTAGCTCACTGATAATAAAACCCTGCACGGACATTCTCCTCCGTATTGGGATTGAACAGCTACATGTGCAATAGTATGTTATGTTCAAGTGTGCACTCACCTCGGCCTCCTCCTCAAAAGCCGGGATGGAAAACCCAGGGGCGCCCAGGGCCGAGTCCTCGCCCACCAGTGTCAAAATGCGTGCGTATGACGACGCCAGTGAGCGCACCCGGCCGCCTCCTCCCCCTGTTTGCCTGCGAGTAAAGGAAGTGATTCAATAGCTTGGTCCTCACTATGAGTAGACTACGCAAATTACCTCGCCTTTTTCGCCAGCTTGGCTGCCCGCGCCTTTGACACCCGCACGGCCCAGTAACGTTTCCATTAGCTCGGTCCAGAGACGAACTTTGTCGTCTCTGGACAGGCTGGGGCTAAGCTCAGTTGCACCGCGTACCAGAGAGGGGTTCTCGAACATAAATGTATCGAGTTCCTGCTGGGCCGCGGTCACGCGTTGCCTGCTCCCATCGTCCGTGTTGTTTGAACCATAGTTCCTGAAACCTTTTATCATCGCTCCGCAGCCAATGAGATAGCCGCATTAGCCGATGAGAACGCCGAGGAACCAATCACGACGCAAGAAGAGTGAGCAAGACAGGCCACATCCTCCCGTTTCTTGAGCCGTCATCAGCGACAGTGATTTGAACTAGGCGCTCATCCGCGTCCCGCATGTTCTAACCTTTTATGCGAGAGTACTGTTGTGTATTGTGTGAATTATTGAACACTGTCTAGTTTCGGTTTCAGATGCTCGGTTGGCAACATGGTGTCCTTGTGTGTGTATACACCTTTCCAAAAAACACTCGACCCCAGGGGCAACAGACCGTTCTCGAGCCCAGTCACTGAGTTTGAGGCTAGACTCTCACCGGCGTCCCTCCTAACCCTAACCGAGTGGACTGTGATTTCAATAGGCGCAGCCTGCGTAGGCGCAGTTTCAAACGCTGCTGGCAGCTAAATTCTCGTCTTTTCGAACCCAGGGATCCTGGGTTCGAGCCCCACCCCTGCCCGTTTCGATCTGGATGAGCATCGTACCGGCGTGCGGTCGTGTATCACTACTGCGTGATGCACGTTAAAGGGCAACTCCACTCAAAAAGTCGACCCTATCGAAATGACTGATATCGCTTTAGGAGGTCAAAATACGGTCATACCCAAAATATCACGTCAAACCGACGCCGCGTTACCGATTAAAACCAATATTAAAAATGCTCTCCCGGCTCGGTTAGCGGCCCGAAAGCGGGTGAGCAACGCTGGCACCGGGTGAGCTAGTGAAGCAACACTGGGCAATGACGTAGGTCTAGTCCTACGCTCTCGTACGGACGCTGCGAACGCTTCGTTTCCCGTGGCATTCTGCGACTCTGCTGACGGCACGAGGTGTTTTCCACATTATCCTGTGTTCTCCTATTTTTATTAGCGTCCAGGCAGTTCCTTTAATTCCAGCATTGCTTCCGCGACAGCGCGGAAGAGAGCGAAGCGGTGCTGCTCGCTCACGCGCGCGTCGTGGAGCCGGAGAGATTCGCCGGTCTCGCGTTGGGCAATGTCGATCAGGATTTGTAGTGCTGTGGGTTTTACCAACAACCCGGTGTGCAACTCGGAGCTGCGGTTCCACCAGTTCCGAAGAGACTAGAAGAGGCACAAGGTGTGGGTCGGTGCCGTTCGCCGGATAGACTTCGGAAGACCGTTGACTCCGAGCTCCAACGCGAAGCACTGCTCCCAGCACTTCACGTCAGACACCTACACACGGGATCTGCGGCTGCTGACTGTTGCGGGTTTCACCGCGAAACAGGCGTCTTTGAAGAACGATGCGGTGCCGTCGTTGTTCGCGTACCGTTCGCCGGCTGCCCCAGCACGATCGGCCGGACGCAGCAGGTCGCGGCTGATCTAACTAGCGTGCACATAAAGGCACCTTGGCTTTAACAACTTAGACCACTTGTGGATAGATCTGTCCATCTATCTCCCATTATTTCGTTTTCTCGGTCCGCGCGCAAGAAACAAATACAGTCACGCTGCGCTGGCACCGACCGCGTCATATTTATAGCAGTCGGATTCGCTTTTCGGCCGGCAAATTTATAAATACACACTAAAAATTACTACATTTGGTGCATATTAACAAAGTGAAGCGGTAAAAAAAGAAAATGTGCATCTAACCTTCTGTTTTGAAACTCCACGTACGACTGAGCCGACCTTGTCGGCGCGTCGGCTCAGAAGCGCGGGACTAGAACTAGGTCATGCCGACGACGCGCCACTAGTATCAGTGTTGCCAAGCTGCTTCAACCGGTAGTTTCGGTTTCGCCGTGCCGACGGACCGATTCTTGCATTCGCAATATCTACAAAACTATACGCACTACCGAAAAACAAATTATATCTCGTGATTCAGGGTCGCCGGCTTCGACTAAACAGATCATAACCCAAAAATGGTAAAAATGGAGTGGAGTTGCCCTTTAAAGACCCCAGGCTAGCGGTTGTACCGCACTGGCTAAATTTCTCATCTACAGCTGGGAGACTCGTCGCCCCTGTGAGGCAGACCAAGTTTAGGCTGTATAAACACACACACAACCCAATTTTTTTCTCGTCTTTTCCCGCTATATTTTGTGTTTCATGGTACTTGTATGTTCCCGAGGACATTGAGAAAGCATTGTGCCACATTTAAAAAAAAACAAAAAAGGCAAAAAAAAACAAAAAAACTGAATTATTTTTGTTGGGTACGCGCGCGACAGAACGAATGCGACTGGAATGTATAGTTCTAGTTATTTCTTTTTTTCTTACGATAAGTTTTGACGGCGCCGCGGGATTTGCCGGATGTTAAACGACAAAGCGCTTTGCTGTCAAAAGTAAATTGCAACAGAAGAGGGCCGAAAGTCATGCATTTTTCACGCTCACAAATAACGTGTTTACCGATGGACAGGACACGGACATACGATTAAGAAAATGTTAACATTCGAACAATATATCGTACGTACCACACAATGCAGCGTTATCTGAAAAGAATATATTTGAGAAAGATCTTAAATAACAGTCACAGTCGACTACTCATTTTGACGATCGCACGGAATCCGAGATGACTTCGTTTTGGGGAGAGCTTCCTTTTCTCACAACCGCACCAAGGCAAAGAAACAAATGCGACTGACCCGTTTCTCACCCCGACCCGGACAACTATTTTTGGAGATGTCTGAGGATTCTACGCGGATTATCTCTGGGAGGGGGGAGAACAATGTTCGCAAAATCGCGTCGAGGGTCGTTCGACGTCCTTCACCTCCTTCGTTTCCCGTGAATGTAAAGCAGAAAAGCTTGAATGGCAGGCACTTACCAGCCTTATTTCTCACAATGGAAGATAACACAAAAAGGGTACGCAGCACGCATAAAAAAAATTAAGTGGAAACTTTCAAAGAGGTCGACAAAACGTCGAATGCAAAACCGCAAAAATGTAGGTAGAGAACCGCGCTGAGCGGGTCTTCACAGTCCCAGAGAGTGGCAGAAAATTTCTAGTTGATAGAGGGCGCGAGAGTCGCACCAGCCGCATCAGCAACATGGCGGCGGCCTAGGAGCGTTTTTTGGAAAGGTGTATATAAAGTATGGCGTGCTGAATAAACGGCACTGTTCTGTTTGGCATTCCGTCGGCTGCTGGCTCGTCATTACATGGCGACGAGGATGTCCTCCCCTTCGATATGTAGCGCGTAAACGGCGCCTTCCCTAACGAGCCTCGCCATGGCCTTTGCTGGTCTCGCCCCTCCGGAACCGTTCCTGCCGACACCGGGATGCCCGTCCGTACCCTGGCCGCAGTGGCATGGCATGTTCAACGACTACCTGCTTGCGTCTGGTGCTGCCGAATTTCCCCCGGAGCGACGCAAGGCCCTTCTGCTGCACTGTCTGGGAGCCGAAGGTCAGCGAATTTTCAACACACTACCTGACACGAATCCTCCAAGCACCGCCCAGGACACCGGCAAAGACGCAACGAGCAAGCCGGACGTCTACGCCATCGCCGTCGCTTCCTTGGCCCAACACTTCGCTACAACCAGCAACCTGGTCATCGAGCGACACCGCTTCCACCGGCGTTTAGAATCTCCAGGTGAGTCTGTTCATGACTTTGTTGCCGCGCTACGTGAGCTCGCAACGCCGTGTTGCTTCGCGTCACAAGAAGCACTACGAGACCAATTCGTGACCGGCGTGTCTTCTAACCGCGTTCGTGAACGCCTGTTGTTGGAAGGTTTGTCGCTGCCGTTTTCCACCGCAGTCCAGATAGCCCTTCAACAAGAACAAGCGGCCGAACAAATGAAAGAATTTTCTGCGTCTGTACAACCAGTGTCTTCGCGTACTAGCAAGTATTCCGAGCTGTTCCCTCTGCCACACATGGAAGAGCTGCTTCATGCACTGGTGGGAGCCACCCACTTTTCAAAACTTGACCTAGCTTCAGCCTACCATCAGGTCCTCCTGCACAAAGACAGCAGAGACTTAACAGCCTTCATCACCCACGACGGCTTGTTCCGCCTCAAAAGAGTTTGTTTTGGGTTGGCCTCAGCGCCACCAGCGTTCCAACGCCTGATGTCACAGATTCTTTACGGCTGTCCTGGCGTCCTCTTTTATATTGACGACGTTATTGTCTTCGGCAGGTCGTCGGGGGAACATTTGCAGAACCTGGCCAAAGTCCTGCAATGCATCAAGGATGCAGGCCTTAAACTGAATCACAATTGCATTTTCAATGTCAGAGTTGACATTTCTAGGTCACAAGGTGACTGCCCAAGGCATTTCGCCCCTCCCAGAAAAGGTAGATTCAATCGTGAACACGCCTGTTCCAACCAAGGCTGCAGAACTCCGCTCCTCTCTAGGTCTCGTGGACTATTATTCGAAGTTCGTTCCTCGCCTAGCTGAAGTCGGGGAGCCAATGAGAGCTCTTCTTCGCAAGGACCAACCGTTTGTGTGGACCTCACAAATTGATGCCAGCTTTTGCAAGGTCAAGCTCCTGCTTTCTTCAGACCTGGTGCTTCGTATGTTTGACCCTGCTCTTCCAATTGTAGTCTCGACAGATGCACCTGAATGCGGACTAGGAGTCGTTCTCCAACAGCGACAGGGCCAGACACTTCGCACCGTCGCTTTTGCTTCGCGTACCCTTTCACCTGCTGAAAGGAAGTATGCTGTTGGCGAAAAAGAAGCACTGGCCTGCATTTGGGCATGTGAACACTGGCATGTGTTCCTCTGGGGACGCCCATTTACTCTGCGAACAGACCACCAAGCCCTGGTTTCGCTTCTGTCTTCACGTGGTTTGGGACGACGTCCGCTTAGGGTCGCACGCTGGTGTGCAAGACTGCTCTGCTGCAATTTTACAGTCGAGTATCAGAAAGGTGCGCAGAACAGTGTAGCGGACGCTCTGTCTCGTCTTCCCGCCCCGACCAAGGACCCCGAGCTGGTTTTTGAGGAACATACCGTCTGCCTTGTTGAGCCTACGTGTGTCACCATGGAACAATTCCAACAAGCAGTTCTGAGTGACGCTGTCCTGACTCAAGTGAAGTCCTACGTCACCGATTCTTGGCCTCCGCACAGAAGCCTTCCTGAAAACCTGTTGCCGTTTTTCATAATTCGAGAAGAACTGTCAGTGGTAGATGAAGTCCTACTAAGAGCAGAAAGGCTGGTTGTTCCCTCGTCTCTGTCGGCACAGCTCATTGCTACAGCGCATGAAAGCCACCCAGGAATCGTTCGCACTAAGGCAAGGCTTTGCGAACAATTCTGGTGGCCGGGAATGAACAACCAAGTTGAGACGGCCATCAAGAGCTGCAGTACTTGCCAGGAAGCCGACAAGTCAGCCAAGACATCAACTGCTCCAATGCAACCGGTTGAGTTCCCCGAACGACCATGGCAGGAGGTTGCAATAAACATAGTTGGTTCCCTGGAGAGAGCCCCTCAGATCTGCCGGTTCGTGATTACTCTGATCGACTGCCACTCCAAATGGCTGGAAGTCCATTTCAGCTCGGAAGTAACATCAAGGACTGTAACGGAGTTCTTGCTCAACGTATTTTCCAGGGAAGGCTACCCTGATGAGGTAGTATGTGATAATGCTCCACAATTCACGTCCAGGGAGTTTGTCCACTTTCTGCAAGAACGGTCCATTCGGCTCTCGCATTCATCAGTTTACTATCCCCAGGCCAATGGCCAAATAGAACGGTTCAATCACACTTTTAAGGCATTCATTCAGCTGGCTGGTTTGGAACGTCGACCGCTGCGACTGGCTATTACCGAGTACCTCGAAATCTACAGGTGCACTCCGCATGCTACTACAGAGATTGCCCCTGCTGTTCTCCTTCATGGGAGATTGCCAAGAACACGGCTGAACGTCGTCGGTTTTCCATCACCGTTGCTCGAGGAGGAACCAGCGAAAGAGCTGTCAAAGTTGAGACAGCGCGTGAAGCGTCACCAGCTGTACAGCAAACAGTACACCGACAGAAGGAGAGCAGCAAAGAACACAAAAGTTGCTGTAGGAGATCACGTCAGGGTTAAGAAGCAATTCGTTTCCTTCAAGGGTGATGCTGTGTTCAGTCGTCCAAAAAAGATCGTCAAGCAGCGTGGCCCGTCGTGCTTCCTTCTCGACGACGGACGTACTTGGAACGCCTCCAAATTGTGCAAGGTGCCTGCAGTTGCCGCTGGCCGTGACTGTATTCAGCCAAGTGACACCTGGGTGCCCCGCAGTGCTGCATCTCAGGGGCAAGTACGAACTACGCCGCCTGAGGAGAGTGTGCCGTCCCATGAACCGGTGCCGCTCGAGGAGCCTGGCCCGTATCAGCAAACTACTCCACAGGAAGAGCCTGTGCCGGGCCAGCAAACTACACCGCCTGAAGAATCTGGGCCGGAGCGTCGAGTCCAACCCTACAAGGACAGGCATCCACCTGCTAGGTTCCGGGATGATGCCTAAAGTTGCCTTCAGTTTTTTTGTTTTTTGTACTATGTCTTCTGTTGGGATTGTGAGCTGTAAGTCACATGCAGTTCTGTAAAAATTGTATAATGTTGTTTGTAAGAATTGTATGATGTATATATGTACATATTTTGGATATATATCTGACAGGCAAGTCATTGCTAACAATCCACTAACCAATTAACCTACTAACCAATTGTCACCCAAACAAATTCAAGGAAGGGAATATGTTGTGTATTGTGTGAATTATTGAAGACTGTCTAGTTTCGGTTTCAGATGCTCGATTGGCAACATGGTGTCCTTCTGTGTGTATATAAACTATGGCGTCCTGAATAAACGGCACTGTTCTGTTTGGGATTCCGTCGGCTACTGGCTCGTCATTACAATTACTCCATCTAATATTTTCTGGAACCGCTACAAAATAAGTTGTTTATTTCAATAGAGCACGTGTATTTGTTTTTAGTTTGACAAGTTTCTTTAAAATAGGCAGATTTGAAGGTCGCCGCCACTAGGGATTGGCTACCATCGCTTCACTAAAAGCAGGAAATGCTCCTCCGATTGCCAGAGAAACGGACGCTTGCGTAGGGACTAGCTAGGTTCCAGATAGGTACCGCCGGGAGAGCGTAGGTGCGGTAGGGAGACAGCGTAGCTACTTCCGCTCTTCGGAGGTTGGCTCTTGACGCCCCTCAAGTGAGTGACAGACGCCAATCTTTCCATGTCGTCACGACGTCAAAGAGGGCAGTTTCGCGGTGTGCGCCATTGCTTGGTCACGCTCCTCCTGCCGCTACGTCACTTCTGTTTCTAGTTTCTCGAAAGTCCAACATAGGTCCCCAGGTCCCGATTCTCCACTATGAAATGCTTCGTCGGCTCTCCTTGGAATCGTTTGGATAGTTGCTTAAATTCTTTAACTGCCTCTGGGAAGACTCCTACCTTCTCGGCGCATAGAAATGCGCACATGTCATACCCTTCTTGTGACCGGGAAAGGACCCCTTATGTCCATCAAGTTACTGCACAATTGGACTCACTAGCTGCCTGGGTAAGACATATGAGAGACTCATTAACAGGCGACCTGTATATTTTCTTGAAACTAACAATATTTTGGATAAGAATATGTGGTTTCTGACAGGGTCGGTCCACCTTGGATCACCTGGTACACTTTGAAACCTTAATTAGGGAAGCATTTGTAAACAGGCAGCACTGCGTTTTTGTATTTTTTGATTTAGAGAAACCATACGACACTACTTGGAGGCATGTCATTCTTCAGGATCTCCTTGCCTATGGAGTACGAGGTCGCATTCTCCGTTGCATTAAAGCTTACTTAACGGGACGAACTTGTCAGGTTCGGTTAGGCACCACTCTGTCCGATATCTTTGTACAAGAAAATGGGGTCCCGCAGGGAGGCTTCCTTAGTGTCACACTGTTTGCCGTCAAGATTAATACGATTGCTAAAGGGATACCACGTTTCATTGCATATTCGCTCTATGTCGACGACCTGCAAATCTCTTCTTCCTCTTGCAATCCTTCTAGTTGTGAGCGCCAGCTGCAGCTAGCAATAAATAAAATCAGCAAATGGGCAGATGAAAATGGATTCCGGTTTTCAGCTGAGAAAACTGTTTGCGTACCCTTCTCTCTCTGGCGTGGGATATCACTAGATCCCGGCTTAGAAATAAACCGAACTCCTATAGCTGTTAAAGCTGAACATAAGTTCTTGGGCATTATTTTCGACAAAAAGTTAAATTTTAACTTCCATTTACAGCAACTAAAACAGAAATGCTTAAGATCCCATAACCTTCTCAAAGTTTTGTCTCATAAAACATGGGGTTCAGACAGAAAGGTTTTGTTACGCTTGTATAACTCTCTGGTGCGATCCCGTCTTGACTACGGTGCCATAGTCTATAACTCAGCGCGACCACTCTCGCTTAACCCCGCAGGGGGCACCTGTAAAAGCAGGTGTTTGGTGAGTGGCATCACCACGGACCCCGTGGAATGCGGGTTCGCCCGCCCACATCTGGCTGTGCATGGCTGTCCCGTGTCTGGGGAAAAGGGCATCCTGGTGGTTGAGCCGAGCCCGGGGTAGGTTTGGACCCTTCGGGGCCCCCCGGGCGAGGCAATACACCCCTTCTGCCCCCGCTTCTCATAGACGGGAGTCCAGGTAAGGCCCGGCCAGGATGATTCAGTCCAGTCGCCACTCCTTCTACTATTCCCTCCCTTCTTTCACCTTTGTCTTCTCCTTCTTTTCACTCTTCTCATTTCTCTTCTTTCCTTCTTCAACTCCTTTGGCGGCAAGGGCAAACCTTGGGTGGCAACAGACCCCTTGTCCAGATCCACACTTGGTTATAGTTTCTGGGTAGCGCTAATAGAGTAATGCTTCCAGCAAAGCCATATTTGTTATGGGGTGTTACCCATTCCCTCTTTGGGCTCCGTGGTGGGCGGCGCGCCACAGATTCCGAAAACCCTTTGCCTTTCTATGGCGCCCCTCTCTTCTCGACCTCGAGCAGAGCGACCCCCCAAAAGGGTTCGCCCCGCTCCCCTTACTTTCGAAAAAGGTAATGAACCAGAAAAATATCCTCGATTTCTTGTAGTTCACTCTACAAGTGACACTGTGCATTTGTCAAACGTTTCTCCCTTTGTCATTGCAAAGCATTTAGAACAAGTGGTTGGAAAATGCTATAAGGCAAAGAATCTTGCTGGAGACCTCCTTGTTTAGGTAGAAAACAAGCAACAGAGCACAGCACTCTTGAAGATGACAAGCCTGGAAGACTACCCGGTTACTGTCACCCCTCACCGTACCCTGAATACTGTTCGCGGTGTCATCTCAGA